ATGTAGCTTATCGATGGTCCTGTAGTATCTTTGAGATTGACCAGTAATTTTTGGAAGATATATTTCTCATTTTAATCTTTAAAAAGACTCTTATGAATTTATCAGGGAATCATAATGTAGGAGTACTGCGTTATATTTGCAAAAAAGGACATCGGATAGCCATATTGGATATTGTAGAATTCGATGCAAATATTAGGACTTAGCAATGTTCGAGGCCGGGGTTAACAATGAATATTGCACATTGAATATTCTTAGTACAAAATAATTATAGTTATGATTTGAGACGTTTTGTGAAATTTAGCGTGGCGTATTTGACTTATTCATGCATAATCATACTGCGCGAAACTATTTTTAGCGATGTTTTTTTTTTTTGGCGGTGCTGCAGTTTGCACATCTTTGTGATGTACCTTTTTGTGGCATATGGGATGCCTGGTTGTATCTCTTTTAGGGCTCTACACGCACTATGAAACTGATAGATTCTTTTATTTTTCTTGACCTAGATGTAGAAGGTTTTGTCGCAGTCCCGGTCAACCCTGCAATAAGGGATAATCTAAACCTTTTCAGATCTTTCAAGTTTCCATTCACCTCCATATGAATAATGTATGCATTTAGTAATGTAACATCCAGGAAATGCCTAAAATTCTATTCCACCATTTCTTACTTTTAAGATCAATTTTGTATAAGATTTCAACATATTTTCCCTATCGACGAACCCCATATTTGCAGTGTTATCCGTTTTCCATTACCATTTCATAACCATTTCTTGCAAACGAAAAACTATTAGATTTGTCGAAGAGCGTATAAGTTTCTTTGATGTACGATTAGTTCAAGTACTTCGTGCGGAAATAAACAATGAAAAATTTCTATCGACTCATCCGTATCATCTGGAATGTTAGGTTAAACACTTGCAACAAATCGTTGATTTTCAAATATATGATACTGTTTCCATTTCATTTTCATGCACACTTCAGCTTCCCATCAGTTCAAGTTGACGTTCTCACTTCCTAGTTCTTGACCTTCTTGTTCTTGCGTTTGAAGTACTAACTCATTTGCTGCTCCACTGTATTCTATCCCTTCTTCATATGCGGTCTCTTCATCAGTGCTCACTTCTAGAGTTTCAGATTCAGTAACTGACGGAATGTGATCAATATATTGCAAAATATGTTTTCTCCCACGATCTCCGAAATCAAAATCATTGAAATTGTCTCAGCCAGCTAACACGCACACTTACTCAAAAATTACAAACCAAAAATTACAAACTCGCTTCACTATTGTAAAGCCCACTTATGTTCAGTATCTCAACGTAACCACGATCTCGATAGTACAAATGATGACAAAAGTTTCAAAATGAAAACACTACACAGACATTCTAACTACCGCCTTTAGACAGAATGTACACAAACAATAATACAACGTCTTCAAATCTGACTAGAAACCCCCTCTTGACGAAAACACACCATGCGGAAACCACCCTATAAATAATACACAATTTATAACCACGTACATTGGTGCAAACTAACTGAACTTCGAAATTATGTCGCCAGGAGTATCTTTTTTACGAACCACGAGTGTGGGTACAACGCGAACCCAATGGTGTAAACTAAAACCACTGGTCGGGAAGGGTTAATAAAATATTCAGCTTCATCAGAACCTTCCGAGATATAAAATTGCAGTTGTAGGTTAACAATTGAATATGCTTACGTAATTAAGATCCATTGAATATTGTATATTTGGCCTTCGCGATTTATATATAGGTATATTGTCACCGGAGCCCATCCCTTGACGGCTGCCAAGGTTGAGAAGCCATGGCAAGACTATAGTCTGATGAGGCTATATATATAGCCTATGAGGTTAGGAGGGTATCGTATAAATAGATATTTATGACTGATACTCTGAAACCTGAAACTACGCTCTTTGACACTCACTGGCCTTAGACACTTCCCATCAGCAGTCTGATTCCTATCTTGACGGCCCTTCTTCGTTGAGATAATGCCTGAACATCCTCTAAGCAAGAGCACAGCCTCCTATTGTATGAAGTAATATTCAAAGGGGTTCCTTTCAATTTCTCGAACTTTATTAACCGATTTCTCAATTAAATGAGGTTAAAAAATATAGGGGTTTTATTATACGAATACAGTTGTATGGAATGTAGTTTCTTGAGGGCAATCTCCGTCATCAGCATCTTACCAAGAATATAAATTAATATATGGAGTGAAATGTATTTTTAAATGGCACACAAAGATACGAATACAAACAAAGACGTGCTTTTACTGCCGTATTTATGCATTTCCTCCCAAACATCATACTTCACAAACCTTTCTTCTAATTTGATGCAAATGGACTTTTCCCCTCTTCTTGGAATCTCCCTAGACATTTGCACATAATAAAATAATTCACCCGTGAATCGTTTCGTTGTCCTAAAAAGCTCAAAAGATGATCTGGCTCAACCGAAATGATCCGACGCGCAAATTTATGAAAGAAGACGAGACGTCTTTGGCTTGAGGCGTTGCCTCGTATAAAATGCTTTCAAAAAAGTCGATACACTTTACAGACTTGAGCAGTCAGTCTTATTTTGAAGTGTGCTTTGCTCTCTACAGAGCTTGAAAAAAGAAACGATAAAGCAAAGACGGAGGGGAACTTTTTGAGGGTTGAATGTAACCCCTCGGGATTTTCGAGTATCTCATTTTCGTTCCCGTAGAAAGGCGTCCTTCCCGCTTCGCAAAGAAAGATCGTGACCGCAAAAGAGGCAAGCTAAAGGATTAATAATTTCAAACGTCGAATGGCAAACGTTTGTTCAGATGACTGATGAGCATAATCAGAGATGGAAAGGAAGGTGTTAAGCCTTGTACTATAATTAAAAGATGAAAATTACTTGGCTTGAATCTTCGACAGTTTAATGAGAATGTAAGGTAACTTTAAAAATGAAACGTTTGCTTTCGGTAAGAAATAATTCTTGCACTTCAATAATTCTTGCAATTAAAGTCAAAATATCAAGATTTATTAAATATTCTCTCTGGACATCCAAACTGAAGAAAACACACTAGCCTTTCGAAATTAACTTGAGTTTTAAGAGCAGGTAAATTATTTATTGTTTCTGCAAGTAGTTCAAATACTTTAGCAAATCTATTAAAATCTTTGTTCTTCGCATTTGGGAACATCAATTAAAATAATTATTTGATCAGATAATGGTTTCTTGATAAAATATTACTAAAATACTCATAATTAGGATCAATTACGAAAAAGTTTAAATGTCATATATTTGGATGAAGTAGCTTCTAATATTTGTATGAAAATATTTCAGCTCAAAACATTTTTACTATTCTCTCTCGCATTCTACGTAAGTAATATAGAGAAAGTTAAGTAATGCCGCGGGTCTTTAGCAGAAAAAATCGTATTGTAGTCCCTGATAACGAAAAAGTAAATAATGCTCTTTCTATATGAAACAAATTACTTCCTCCAACACATTCTGTACTCTGAATCCACAATTTGTGGAACCTTGATACTGAAGAATTGGTGATGGCAAATCGTCCGTCTGCCTGTCCATCATTCTATGAACAACGCTAGTGGCTAAACCGAAAGAAGGATTTTCAGCAAAATATATATTTCCCAAACGATCTGGCTGATATCACGGAACCTGGAATTTAAAACCGATGTTTTAATTTTTGGGGGTATTTTGCATGTTATATCAAAGACATTTTCTAATAAAGTGGCACCAAATGTTTTGATTCTTTGTCCTCGGATAGCATTAAGGACTCTCTTATTCTCTTTCATTCTCTCTCACTTTCTCTCTCTCTCTCTCTCTCTCTCTCTCTCTCTCTCTCTCAAAGAGCCGATATATGCTCTGAAATTGCGAGTTTAAGAAAAGGATAATTATGCTGCCATGTCTTCATGGTCATTGACGACCGAGGGTGCTTAGAGTCAAAATTATTTAATAGTACAACGTGTAGAAAGTGAGTTGGCTTCTGTGTTTGCATGGACCTGTCTCAACGCGGTGCTTGTGTAGCGGCAGGCAGTTAAATTTATTTAATTGTGGCAATTATCATGTTTTTATTGTGATCTTACCAAACGAGTTCGTCGACATTGAATCATTGGTCATTTTTCATTAATATTATACAAGGAAAAGTGAAGTTTATTTCAGTTAAGTGCCAAAGTGAGTAGAAAATATACTATTATGATACTTCAATTAGTTTCCATCTAGCTATCTAGCTAGCGTCGAAACTCCTTCCTCTTTTGGTGTTCCAAGTCTAGGACCTCCCAGTGAGAGGCACTGCAGTAACATCAATTGATTCCGTGAGCCTCCTGAGTCAATACTAACAATGGAAATAAGCTGCAACCAGCACATTTTTCTTCCACTCCATGACATCTGAATTGATTATAGTTTAATTTGGTTAAATTTATTTAAATGTTACTGAATTAAATTGAACCATGCATCAGCCCAAGCAAAATTTGTGACCAAGGAAGCTGTCAATTAACTCTAATTGAATATTACTGCCCCCTAATGACCCAATTATAATCTAAAAGGGCCTTCATTGCACTTCACCTCACCTTAATTAGGAATTTTGCAGAAAGTCTTCCAACGCATCAGCATGGTGTCAAAACGATGTTCGTATGTGTCAGCACGAGAACCAACCGTTAGCAACCAACCTTGGAGACTTTTACGTCCCTGGTAGAACACGAATTGGTGTGGAGTAGTAGACCACCCGGATCAGGCGTTAGCATGAGGTCTATGGCCATACATACACTTTAGTTTAATTACTTTTAACTCACTACTATTTCTCTGAAAGTTTGTGGGTGACCCAAACACGTCGCTCACTTTTTTTCTCACGAATAGTACGAGTAACGCTGAAAATCATGGGACAGGTCTCATTTTCGTTGATTAATTTTCGAAAATTATAAAATATGTAATGCGAGAAAATATAAGTATTGCTTTTCGTTGTCTGGGATGAAGTAGAGCTTAGTATGAAGAAGCACGGCTAACCCTGCCCTTCCAGTGAATGGGAATGCGTGTCCTTGTGGGGACGCCCTCACACCTTGACCCGGTCTTGCCCCCCCCCTTCCCCCCTCAGGGGGTCGCAGAAGCGCGCTCCCCTGAGGCGCCTGCGGGCGAAGCCGGCCGCTCCGCCCCCCCCCGGCCCGTTGATCCAGAGGCCGTGCCAGAGCATCGGAGCGGGCGCGAGGCGGCGGCGCGCGCCGCGGAATCCAAAGACGCCCCCGACGGCAGCGCGATCAATGCGGGCAATGCAAACACTCCCCCCTCCGCCCTCGACTCTCCTATCCATTATCTTCCTCCTCCCGCAATCAACTTCTTTGCTCGTCACTCCTCTCTCTCCTCCTCCTTCCTCACCATTCCTCGCCAGCCACCTCCTTCCTCGTCCCTACTAGACCTTCTCAGACTTCTTCTAGAATGTATTTCCTTCGTCAATACTTACTCTGCTCTCCCATCTCCATTCTCCACGTGTGCCACCCTCTATTCCACCTTCAAGACGTCATTCGTTATTCTCTTTCTCCGTATCTTCCCTCGTCATTCCTCTCTTTTGTCCTCGCAGTTCTCCATCATATTTCTCATATTTACAAATATAAAAAATGTAATCCTCAGTTGCATTTACCCGCTCTGAAAAGTACACCAGCTAAATGGTTGAGTCAGAACTCAATCGTCTTTCTCCTTTCCAACATTAACACGTGTTGTTCCTCATGCATGCCGTTACTTCGCGTACGAAGAAATGTTTCATACCTTTGTCAGTCATATTATTTCATCCGGTAATGTTAAATACTTTCTATTTTCAAACGTTTCTTATTTATTATTTCAAACATTATTCTTAAAGACACAACAGTCATCTTAAATATACACTGCAAGGCCTTCTAGAATAAGTCTTGTCCAGAACAAATATGACATCATCAAATACATGTCTCAAGCATAAAGGTATGCTTCAGTTCCTCAAAATTAAAATTATTCTTTAATGGAAACGAAAAAAATATTGTACGTAACACGTGGATGAAGGCGTATAATTGCACTTGTGGCAAATAAGCAAACTCGCTCCCATCGTCGCTCGTTTTTTTGAACACACCTCTCATGCAATTATACCTATCTTTATTCACTCCTTTCGTAAACTACTATTCTATAACTTAAAATGATATAGTATTTAATAAAACTTACAATTATATATTTATTGTTGCAATGCTGAATGTTTTTTATATTTTAAGTTTTATACCAGGTAACTGATTGCTTAGCCATGAAACGTTGATCTATCAATAAATAAAAACGGTGGCCAAGACAGGACCTTCTATTCTTTTATTTGGATTGCCGCCAACAACACATCACCAATAAACCAATACTTCTCCACTATCTTTGATCCTTCTGCGTCATCGCTCCTACCGACTTCTTATCCTTTTTTATATTTCTCCCTCCTTTCTGCACACACTATTTTATCGTCTTCCTTCTCTCCGTTCGCCCAATCATCATTCTCTTTTCCACCTCTACCAGCTCGCTCGTCACTTTTTTCTAAACTTCTATAATTCAGTGCCACTTTCAAATTTCCAGCTTCATCCTTCCTGTTTCCCTTTCCGTCATTCTCCTTTCACCTTCTCTCTCTTCTTCGCTTTTCCTCCGTACGGGGGGAGGTGTCTCAGGACGTCAACTGATAACATTGCAGTGCCTCTCACCGGGAGCTCCTAAGCTTCGAGTCCCAACAGTGGCAAGATTTTCGACATTAGTTTCTCAGCTAGGTCGGAATCAGTCGCTGGAGAAGAATTCCAGCGTACGGCTGCTCTGATCGGTAGTGTTCTGTGTTTTATCAGATTACTACCAGGCGAATGCTGGAACAGTACCCTAACAATCGGGCCACGCCTTGGCGTGATTTTGCCTTCCTCTTCTTTGTGCTCTCATCCCTCACCCCTAATTTACACACAATAATATCTACTGCACTAGTATACATGCCTGGAGATCTTTCGGGGACTTGGAGCTTGTACCGGGTGAGGCGGTGTCCAGCTATAGGAGATACCTGGTCGAGGAAAACCCCGCTAGCCGACGGTAGGTGGGCGCCAGATCTCGCCATCTAGCGTTTGAAGATCACAACCACCTCGTGAGAAAAACATGCACTGCACTTACGAGACTAGTGACCTTCGCAGTTGACGCGCCCGGTATTACTAACAATCAAATATACCTTCACCTATTTATCCATCTCCTTCTCTTTCCATTCCTCTGTTCTGCTTCTTCCTACCTTCTCTTCTTTTTCCCACGTCTTCCTTTGGTGTTTCTTTCTTCTTTGACTATTCCAAGTCTTAACAAGGGACATAGGAGGAATATATTCATAAAAATGGTAATTTGACCATAATTTCCAATTCTTATAACTTCGATGGTTTCAAAATAAATATCTGTGCTCTAACAAGATTAGAAGGCAAATAAGATGACATTTTGAGTATTATTCCGTCGGAGATATCTTTCAAGGGGGAGAAATAACTTTTTAAATATTATAATGGGCAATATACCGAGGAGAATAATGTTTCTATCAAGAAGTAGTGATCTTCAGGAGATTCTTAATTTTTGATTCTCAGTACCTGGGTTTTCTCGACCTGGTGTGAGTGGTTTGATGGAAGCGATGATTTTGTCAAAATTCGAATTATGAAGTTGTGATATAATGAAAGAGAGGGGAAAGGAAAGAACTCGGAGAAAACATAAAACAAACACTTTTTTCAACCACAAATTCCATATGGATCGACTGAGACTTGAATCCCAGCACTCAGATGGTGATGTACCGCTTCACCACTTCATCACGGCCCACCCTAAATCTTCTGGGAGGATGGTCAAATGATACCTTCTAGGGCCGTGAACCCATCACATGCACTTGCTGACGATTCGCGACTCAATCTCGACTCACGTACCGACAGACGTGGTTCACGACATCAACTCATATCATTACAGTGCCTCTGATTGTGAGGTTCTAGGGGTTGAATCCACGCGATGGCAGGATTTTCGACTCGAGTTTGTCAGCTAGATCGAGTTCAGCCGTTGTCTGGGTGAGAATTCCAGCGACCGGCTGCTCTGATCGGTAGTTTTTTATGGTCTCTGATCCAGGCTCCAGGCAAATGCCGGAGACGTACTCTACCGAACGGGCAACGGACCGCGGTACACTTAAGGAACTAAAGGCCTTATCAATTTACGCGCCCGGAATCTCTAAACAATCAATCAAAAATTATCAGCTGAGGTGGCTCAGGTCATCAACTAATGAAACTGCGGTGTCTCTGACCGGAATGTCCTAGGGTTTGAGTCCAGACAGTGGTAGTGATGTGACACCAATAATAACACATCGATAGTACTAAACATCGGCGATAATCGTTCAGTGGTGAAAACCTTGGTTTTGAAACACCGATGTTTTAAAGGTGGTTACATTCGGAGTACCAAAAAGTTTAAGAATTCACAGAAAACGAAGTTAAAATATAATAAGAAATGACGCTTGATGTAGATACTACAAACTAACAAACTCTGTAGAACTATAGTATTCACAAAACCGATCTTAGTGTAAGTTAGTAATGCCAAAGTGCAAGTACAAGTAAGTTAAATTTAAGTTGTAAGTTAACTTTAGGACTAGTTTCGTATGTAAGACTTAACTGTAAGAAAAAGCCCCTCCTCTAGCTGCTTAAGCCGCAAGGCAGCAGCTTATTGTTAATAATTTAAAAGAAATAAATTCCCCTTCTCCACAGGGTTACTGCGGAGGGAACAAAGAAAAAATATACTATAAACGATCACTGTGTTGTCATCAGTTCGTTCTATTCACGCCGATTATGGAACGTTTACGTCGTAATGTAGAGTTCAGGGCATTGCTATTTACTCATTAAACAAGTGTAAAATGTTTGCATACAGTTGTTTATTATGTGTATTATCTTTACCGAAAATGGGGGATGGAAATAAATTTACAAAAAACAGAATATATGGTGGTGGGAGGTATGACCCATGATTTAGATACTAGTATAGGAATAATTAAAGGTAAAACACAATATAAGTATTTGGGAGTCACACTAACAGAGGACGGTAGAGACGAACAGGATGTGAAAAATAAAAATATAAAAAGAAAAATAGCCACAAGACAGTTGAATCCAATGCTATGGAGCTCAATTATTTCAATGAAGACAAAGAAACGTACATATAGCTCCTTCATAGAGAGTACCACACTCTATGGGGCAGAAGTCTTGACACTATTAAAAAAATTGAAAGACAAATTTCAATCAACAGAAATCATGAACTGGCGAACACGTAAGATTTCTGTTAGATAAAATAAGAAATGATGAAATAAGAAATAAAATGAAAGTGCAATAAAAAACGAGACGATCGAAATGAAACAACTAAAATGGTATGGACATATGAGAAGGTTGAAATCGGATAGACTTCCTCAAAAAGGTTGGGAGTGCATACCAAATCAAAGAAGATACAGGGGAAGACCGAGAAGAACATGGAACATGGCAATAACTGAAGCCATGGAAAAAAAGAGAAATGGAGGGAAACGATGTATGGGATAAAGAGGCATGGAAATTGGGAAGCGGAAAACGGACAAGGCTGTAAAAAACCGCTAGATAGATAGATATAAAGATAGATAGATATATAGATAGATAGAGAGAGCGAGAGAGCGAGAGAGCGAGAGAGCGAGAGGGCGAGAGAGAGAGAGCGAGAGAGCGAGAGAGAGAGAGAGCGAGAGAGAGAGCGAGAGAGAGCGAGAGAGAGAGCAAGAGCGAGAGAGAGAGCGAGAGAGAGAGCGAGAGAGAGAGCGAGAGAGAGAGCGAGAGAGAGAGCGANAGCGAGAGAGAGAGAGCGAGAGAGAGAGAGAGCGAGAGAGAGAGAGAGAGAGAGAGAGAGAGAGAGATATCTTTGCCGCGCCACTCCTCTCCTGGTTTGTGTCCGAGGCGGCGTAACGGGTTTCGCTCTGTGCGTCTCGCGGGATGACGCGTCGTTAGCGCGAAGGGGATTAAACGCGTTGATGACCTGCAGCGACTTTGCGGAGCAACTTAATTTGCGTAATGTCTTCTTGCGCGCCGCCACACAGTGTACGCTAGTTGCCAAATGGACTTCCTTGTGCAAGCAGTATGTTGCTACTCTTGTCAATTTACTCTTCATTATATGAATGAAGGCGTACACATACGTCAAAGCGTTCAAATTAAAGGCACAACTCTCGAAATTTTCTAAATTGGTTTGTACGTAGCTTGTTTCCGGGTGGTTAACCTATGCACTTGCCACCGGCAACGGAGGGCGAGAAGGTAAAGTTTCGGGCGTATCATTGAATGTGAAGTCGTGGTGTGATCTCGGCAAGGTGCCAGAAGCTTACTTGATGTGAATTTAGTGACATCGGTGTAGTTGTGGTGCCAACTCGAATCGAATTCGCCGGATAATTGCCTTGGTCATTGACTTCTATGATTTTTCTGACCCCATCTAGGCGTACATCCAGGTATCGTCATTGTTTAGAATGGACTGCGATCTACTTGGATATTTTATTCCGATTACTTTCCAATCCCTCTCCGAGTCATCGCATTCACTCCCCTAACGCGAAACGTTCTTTCCGTTCTACGCCACAACCAGCATGCGTCCACCGGGAGGATTTGCGAGCCCTGGAATTGCGCAGAACTGATGCTAGAAAATGACAGATTCTATTCAATGGACACTCCTGTCTGAAATTTTTCAATCTGCAATCTTAAAATCAAATAATGAAGAAATCAAGAAAGAAAGAAAAAATGAACTACTATAATACATACATTTGACGAATATCTGTTTTATCGCAGCCCTTTTCATAATATACTGATAACTAGGAATCGAACAGTATAAAATATAAAATTATGCCATAAAATATGCACTAAATACACAAAATATGCACTTAAAATGAGTGAAAATATGTAAACGCATTACCTAAAGAGCCGAAATACTCACTAAAATAAATAATCATTACTTTTGAATTAAATAACATGAGCGAACTAACAGATTGGAACTGATCGCAAGCACAAGACAAAATGAGAAAGAGAAGAGATAGAGAGAATTAGACAAGTAGCGACTGATTTACATAACCGATGAACCAATTAAAAATTAGTTCACTAAATGTTACATGTTAGAGAACGTATTCAACTGCCCGTTTGGATTGTAAGATTATAAGCTCGCTCTTATTTCCTGCATAACGTGAAGTGAAGAACACTTGAAACCGTAATTCGCAAAAAATGTCAGTTTTTTTATCGATTTTAATTATCTCCCCCTCCTTGGTGCCAGATCATAAACTGCGATTCATCTATCTTCGGAGGCGATATGTGTCGACCCATATGTGGATGTGTAATAAAACGCACTTTTCCATTTTGATTTAAACAGTTGTTAAGTAAAGAAAATGGTGATGATTTTGTGATGCCTCAGAGAAAGAAATAGAATTCTACAAGCTACTCCAGAAAACACTCATAAAAGTAGAAAATGTTTGGAAATAGTTTGACAATTTTTCTAAAGACCTAGGTTGCATATTAGGAAAAGATACACCACACCAAGAAATTGTGGAAAAGGAAATGAAATCAAATATACCCATTTTCAAGTATTTAATATTTTCAATACGTGATTTTTTTTCACGTACTTTCAAGTTTGATGGCTGATTGTGCTTAATAAGTGTTAATAATGAAATAAAAAACAAATTTCGTGTTTGCGTTACATGCATTTAGGACTTATTCATATTTCTAGTATTAACCCATACTTATTAATAAGGAAGTTACACGTGTAATCTAACCTCCTTGATTGTAACATTGCAGACAGCCTTGCAGGAAACAGAATGGAGGTTGACGAACAAATTAATTGAAATAATTGAAAATACCTTAACATAGCCGATTAACGTACATAACAAGTATTAATGACACCGGCTTTTTAAATTCAAATTTAATTCGTCAAATAATCCTCTTAAATTCCACTCTTGATTTGGAAACCCTCAGATAAATATCCACGCCGCTTCACGACTTGCTAGGTCTACATTATTATCATGTGCGATTTAATGAACGAGCGATTCATAGCTTCCTTCGTGTAGAAATGCCAAGCATTATGCAAAAGCACTGTGTAAACAACACCATTTATTGTTAAATTTATAAGTTCCAATAAATTGAGAACATATGAAATAATTTACGACTATAATAGGTATTTATTTATTCTGTCTTAAATGTATAATTACATAAAAATAAAGAATTGTCAGAGAAAGAGCATAACGCATCAGAGCATATTATTGATAGACTGGTATTCTAAAACTGTTCTGGATTTAGTGTGTGCAATTAGAATTGATTGAACTATTTAAACAGTCAAATATCAGCGTTTGAAAGATGTTATAGCCCCGAAGAATCTTAATATGCTGCTTTGTTTTCAAACGCACCACCACTACCTCAACATTTGTCTATTAGAAATAACTAAAAGCTGTTGATTAAATCTCCGAGCGCAGTAGTGGTTGCAACTTTCGATTCAAACATTAGCGAAGCTCCCATATTGTACATAACTTTTACGTGCGGTTGCAATTGGGGACACATTTTTGTTATCAGATTCCAAACCAGTAAAATGTTTAAGAATCTTTTCCTAGATCTGAAATGTCTATTCTTTGTTTAACTTCCTATCGGCCTGAGAATTAAAAAGTACTCTTTTCTCAAATACCATCTATTTTTGAAATCGTCTTTTCAAGATATTTTTGGACTTATTTTAACACTTCGTTGGGTCTAAATAATTAGCTCAGGCAGAAACATTTCTCCATATTCCTGCACAGATATCACTATCTTCTGAGAAGTTAAATTACTCTCTGAAACGATTTAAGAATATAAGAATGTTAAACAGTCTAACGTATTTCTCTTTTTCCTAAGAATTTGCTCTTGAAACGTTCTAAAGGAAGTAGCAATAATGGAAACAATTGAGCATCTGAACATGTGAACATCAAAACAAATGACGTATGAGGCAGTGCGAGCTAGGAATGAAACGATATGTTGATGTACCCGTGCTTAAACGTTAATCCAATAGGAACTAATTCAATGATAAATGTATTTACGGTGACGCGTTTCGTCCGCTTGACTGGGCGACGCCCACACTGCGGGGGTCGTCCTAGGCGACAAGTAAACGCTTCAGGACAACGCCCCGAGAGCATCCTGGTCGGTGCCCGCGCTCGTCCCTCGCCCATGCGAGCCAACGTACGTCCCGTCTCGCCCTGCTCTTCTCAACCCCGCCCCGCCTCGCTCCACCCACACCCTGTCCGCCTCCCACCCCGGCCCTTCCTCTGTCCTCGCTCATGCCTCATTCCTGCCCAGCTCTCCGTCCCCCTTCACTGGTTACACCGTCAACTCTGACCTATCCTCGCCGTGACTCCACCCCGCTCCCGCCAGGTTTCGTCGCTCCGAACCGGCGCCTCCCCTCCCTCGTTTTCACTCCCCGTCCCTTGCTTCGCCCGTTCACCGCCCCGTCCCACCAGTTTGGTTTTCACTTCACTTCGTCTCACTTCGCCCCGTCTCTCCCTTCCCGCTTCCGCCCTCTTCTCAGCCCACTTCGTCATCGTCAAGCCTTGCCGCTTCGCCTCTGCCACGCCCCGGCACTTGATCTCACCATTCATCGGGGAAGATAACAGCCACCGAGAAACAAAAACACGCACTACGCTTACGGGAATAATGGCCTTAGCAGTTGCCGCGCCAGGGATCGCTAATCAGTCCATTCTTCTCGCTCTTTTTTAGCTTCTCGCTTCTCCGTTTGCGTCCTCTAGGTCTGTTCGTCTCCGCCACGCCCCCTCCCTCGCCCGCCGTCGCGTCCTCCCGGAGAGAGACGGCCCCCTTGGGGAAACGCTTACCCGGCGCCGCATCCTGCTACTCGCGGGTGTTTGCGAAAGAGCTTTCCAAGTGCGTTAACTCAGACCGGAAGCGCCTTTCTTCTGGAGCGTTGTGTGGGGGGAGATTGCGAGAGGGTGTTGAACTGCAATTTACGTCGTAATCGCTGTTATTTGGGAAACTTCCACACAAGTTTGGAGCTCACGTTCTTATGAGCTTGAACAATCGTTTTGTCACGTACTCCGGAAAATACTGCATACACTTTCGAAAACGAGGTATCTAGTAAAAAATCCCAGTAAAACATCAGTTTGAACGAGGACGTTATATCCTCTACTACTCTTCAAATAACATTATTTGCAAAAGACTTTTCTAATAGCACTAGTATGGTTTAGGAATTCTTTACTTCATTTCTTAATGCACACAATTTACATATAAACAAGTCGCTTATTTTTTATTTGAAACGAAAAATGCCTCGAGGAAGTTTTTAAATGCAACACCACGGAATTGATTAATTAAAATATGTTAGACTTATTAATAGTCTCTTCATAGAACGAATGATCAGATTATCGAAGGTACACTAGTGCAATCGATTTTACCATTCTACTAACATGTTTTCACTTAAATGATCAAAAAATAAATGTAGTTTTTCCTACGGATATGAGAAGGAGACTGGAGACAATGATAATGGTCTGTAAATAAAAATAGGCCCTCGGTGGCTCGTTGGTTAGAGTGCTCGCGTCGATTCCCGGCCGGGGCTAAATTATGACAGTGCGTTTTCTTTAAGAATGTCCCTGTGTGATGAAAAAGCCCATCCTAATGTTACGAAGTCCTGGAGGGAAGTCCTCGTGCTAACCACACGAACCCCCTACCCCATGGCCGAGAAGCTGAGCCACCGCTGGTCGGCCGAGGCCCGTTTCGAGCTGTCGAGCCAAAGAACAGGAAATAAAAACAAAATGTTATGTTTGTAATGCATTGACAATTTTCCAATGTTGAAATACACTATATACGAAGTTGTTACGTGATTGCTCGAAACCTGCCACATATATAATGAACTAATTTTGATTTTCAGGAATGTTGAATATTAGAGTCTTCCCTACCCGAAATGCTGATTGTTTCTGCAAACGTGAGTAAACCTGTTATTTCTATGTAAGAGAGTACAGATACGATAGCACTTTCTCGTTTTTAAATTAGATCCTATCACATCAAAAAACAGATTTTATCATTCCCCAGATGCATGAAATGTTTATTATTATTATTATGAATATTTTTATATATGTGTTTAATTTCGTAGACTATGTTAATATAACACAGACAAAACTTTGTGTACCAATTGGAAATTTTCTAAATGATGCCAAAACTATTCCGCCAGAAAATAAATTACTGAATACTTATTTTCAGTGGTACACAACCAAGTTAACTGTGATCCGAAATATTTCCATATGATTGTCTTACTTTTACACTAGTTTATTTACAAGAAAGTACTGAAATTACAAGTGTTTTCAGTATTTACATGTGCACTTCTGACAGTACATTTTTCTTCATCCATGTCAAACACCTACAGATATAAAGTTCAGAGTAATATCCATTCATTGTATCCGTCTCTCTTTCACTAATTTGCTCTTTCACTCAGTCATTCATCGCCCATGCATTAATCTCTCACCCATTAATCACGCATCCATTTATCTCACATCCACAAGAAGCAAACATTCGCCCATGCATAATTTACTCATCCGTTTGCCACTCGTTCATTAATTACTTCAGGAAAAATACCAACTCTACTCGCAGAATGGTCACCGTGATTCACTTGTAGCTCGCGGCATTGATCCTGGAATGGAGGAGGCAGAGCGGGGCATGGGCAGACCGAGCGATCGCCTTGGGCCCTGCAAGGCAAGTAGTCCGATGATGGCACCGATGGAAAAAAATTAACTGAGAAAGAAAGTAGAACTCATTAGAAAATTAACTCAATAGAACTCAGAGGAAATCATTATCGTAATTCTTTAATAGGTACAGAAATCTGATACTTCATAAAATGTTGAATTAAAATTTTACCTCAGACATATAATTATTATCATTACTTGTAAGGTAGGACTCTACAAAATGAATCCAAATGACCCTAACATTAAAATAGTTTCTACTGAAATTGATATTTATTATTTAATGTATTTAACACCAAGTGATTTTATTAAACACTAACTAAAGGCAATTTTTTAGCGTTTTAAGCTCAGCGTGGAAATTTTATTATTTGACCACTAAAAACTTTTATTTGCTCTATTTTTTAATACATTTCCAAAATACGTTTGTTTTTAAGCGTTGTAATTTTTGTAATTTGTTGAAAGATATAAAATATCTCATAGTTTTTTGCTATAACTTTCACAATTTTTTTATTTTTCTGGGGGGGGGGGGTACATTTCAGCGTTGCCTCGGGTTCAAAATTGTCTAGCTCCGGCACCGGAAGGCGGCAGTGCGGTGGGAGACGGGGAGAGGATCCCAGTCGGTGGCGCCGTCCGCTGAGGCTTCCGGTTTCTTAAGGTGCGCCTCCCACCCGCTCACTCGCACACCCGCCCGCCGGCGCCAACGGGAATTCCTCGGGAATCGCCGGAACGTCTTCACCGAAAAAAACACCCAATAAACGATCTTTTGCAAATTACAAAATGCATTTATTCACCGGCGCTGGGACAAGATTATCGCGGCTGTTATTACGAGGGTAATTTAGGATTCTTGGGAAATGAATGGATGAGGAATGGCAGACAGACCTACTGTATTAATAAGCTAGAATAGTGATTCAATTAATAAACGAATGGACAGGAAAGTCAGAACGGGATTCAGTTCACCACTCATTCGTTCATGTGCCAGTCTATACGACCATCCCCTCATGAGTTTTCTACTCATTCATTTAATATCTCGTTCGTACGATCATTTATTCATTATTCTAGCTTATTAACTCAATAGCTTTAGTCTACGTTTTCTCATTTATTCATTTAACAAGAATCCTAAATTCCTCCGATAACATGGAGATAAACTTGTCGCCTAATACAGTCTTCATCGCTCGTGGTGTGTCGAATGAAGCCACTACGCTGGAGGGGGCGTGGCAGCGGTGGACGTCGGAGGAGGAACATGAGACGGAGATAGACTCAGAGCCTTCCGGAGCCTGAGGATGAGCCTCC